CCTCCTCCTCCTCCTCCTCCTCCTCCTCACATCTGCTTCAACCCGGCCAGAACAGCGGAGTCAAGTGACAGGCTCTGATGGGTCACTCTCTGCCACCACACCCAAACTGATAAGGAAGTCAAAGAAAATCCAACTGAAAATGCGTTTTGATTAGTTTAACAAAAACTTCTCCGTTAAAATATGAACTGTTTATTGGTATTTATACAGATTAAATACACAGTGAACTGATACTTTATACAAACTCTAAGAGTGTCCCAAACACAGAATTATAATTAAACAGCAAAACAATCAGCATTGACGGAGGCACGTGATTTGGCACCAAAATTCACAACTGTCTCTGTCACAATCCTTTTTTGTTCAAAAACCAGTGTTGACGTAAGAACACTAACGTGAGCCACGAAGAAGGATCTTCTCGTGTAGAACACAGCAGGGAGAAGGACGGTGGCGGCCTTCACGGCTCTTTATGTCATTCCTAGAAGGGTCAGAGAGCCTAAGGCCAGGACCTGGCCCAGCACCATGTCCTTTTTAAACACTGGTTTAGCACTTCCCTGTAAGAAATAATCTGTGAGCCACTGCTGGAAGAAGGCCGGGTTGCTATAGACACCGGGAAAATGTTTGCGTCCACAGCCATGCCCGTAGCTGGTAATTCCCATCACAAAGTATCTTTTATGTTCTGGTAGATAGCACATGAGTGGTCCACCGCTGTCCCCCTGTTAAAAATCCAAGATGGGTTTATCGTTTATTATGCCGAGACAACGTAGTCCCACTACACCTGTTTCTGTGAATATCCCTTCTCCTTCTACTCAGGGGCAACACAGGTGTCCTGGTTTTCTTTCAGGCAGTAGCTCACTACACTTCCTATCAGGACGAAGCGCAGGGAAGGAAATGCAGAGAGGTGGGGGCCAGTTTCCAACACGGAAAGAGAAACAGCCAGGAAAGAAAGGCAAGAAGGAAATCAGATTTCATAAACATTGGAAACTTGTGGTCCAAATACTATCCTTCACAAAAACAGCTGGAAGTAGGGGTCACACGCCTTTAATCCCAGCACTCAGGAGGCAGATCAGGCAGATCTCTGAGTTCTAGGCCAGCCAAAGCTACAATGTGAGATCCTGTCTCAAAAACAAGCCAAAAATGACAAATGAGAAATATAGGTCAGAAGTATAGTTCAGTAACACTGCCTAACATGCACAAGGCCCTGGGTTTGATCTCCAGCATAAAGCAACAATGACCAGACAACGTGGAAGCGGTAACAGCAGACACAGGGACATGCATTCAGCACGCGACAAGGGTGTTTGCTGCCTGGCTGAGTACAGAGGCAAAGCCAAGCCAGCTGAGTCCTTCCCGACTGCAGTCACAAGGTGACCAGGTGTCCCCTTGGCGGTGAGCCAAAACAGTCTTCCTTCAGTGGCCTCAGATACTGTGTGGATGCAACAAGACAAACGACCAGTCAGTGCAAATGTGTTCTCCATCTGGGCAAACCCCGGGAACACAAAAGACCACGCGTTGACCCATTCCAGAGATGGCAGGATGCTAGTCCTACAGATTCACAACTGCCTGTGTGTAGATGTGGGTGGGTGGGAGGATGAGGTGTGAGTTCTTTTCTTTTTGTATGTGTGTCTATGTATGGGTATGTGCAAGCACATATATGTGTGGAGGTCAGAGGTCAGTGTCATGTGATTTCTTCAAATGCCATGGCAAACGTGCAAATGTCAGAAGACAGCTTGAGCTCCGTCTTCCCCCGGCCTGAGGTAGGGTCTCTTCTTTTCCTGCTGCCTACAAGGCCTGCAGGCTTCTGGGATTCCCCTGTCTCTGTCTCCCATCTCCTTGTAGGAGCACTGGAATTACAGGCATGTAACATGTCCTGCTATTTTTGTGGGTTCTGAGGACCTGACCTCTGATCCTTCTCTTGCACAGCCCTGACACGTGATTCTTAACGGGTAAGGTTTCTTTTAGTGATGACACAAAAGTCCTAAAGTTGGACTTGAGGTGATGGTTGCCCACTTCTAAAAAAATCCACTGGGTTAGAGACTGTCCGTGGGTGCACTGTGGTGCTGGGTGACAATAAGAAAGCAAGGAAAAGGAGACTGCAGAGATGGCTCAGAGGTTAAGAGCACTGTCTACTCTTCCAGAGAACCCGGGTTCAATTCCCAGCACCCACATGACGGCTCACAACCATCTGTAACTCCAGTTCCCGGGGATCTGATGCCCTCTTCTGGCCTCCTCAGGCACTAGGGATACACAGTACACACACACACACACACACACACACACACACACACACACACACACACACACACACACACACACACACATTCAGGCAAGACACTGAGACACATAAGACAAAATTTTAAAACCCTGAGGAGGACCAGGAAGAGGGCAGATTCAAGGCAGATCTTGCCTATGTTTGAGCCTGGTAGAGATAAGAACCAGGAAATCCGATCCAAGGTTTAGACTGTTGAAGTAGGAGAAAAAGAAAAGAACTTTGCATTAGCCTGACAATTAAGGCCTCTGTTCAGGTACCTCCAGGCTTTAGAAGACCTCTCAGAGGGTAAGTGTTTGGTCTTACCCTGCATGTGTCAAAGGTCCCGTTTTCGTGACCTGCGCAGAACGAAGTGTTAGGAATCACTCCCCCGTAGCTCTGCTCAGAGTTGCAGACCTCTCGAGAAATGAAGTGCACTCTTGCCTCTTGCAGGATGCTGGTGGGACTGCCTGTCAGCAGCAGGGTGAACAAAGCTCTGTGAGTTATGTCTTCATAACTGCAGGCATTTTTACAGTGATCTAAATCTCAGCATGTAGTCCAAGTGTGGTGACTCACACATGTAATTTTAGCACTCTGGATGCTGAGGCAGGAGGATTACTGTTGGCTCAAAGCTAGTCTGGGCCACAGAATGAGACTCAGACTCAAAAAATAAATAAAACAGCGGCCAGTGGTGTGTAACTCACTTGGTAGAGTCTTGCCAAGCAGGCACAAAGCCCGGGTTTGATCCCCAACATTGAGTAAGCCATGAGTGGTGACGCATGCCTGTGATCCCAGCATGCAGGAGGGAGAAGCAGGATCATAAGTTCAAAGTCATCCTCAGCTACAGTGAGTTTAAGGCCAACCTGGGCTACAGGAGATCTTGTCTTAGAAAGTAAGATGTGAAAAATTAAAGTATGAGCTTTAATGAGACCTCACTGGATTCCTCACTAAAGGAACGGAGTGAACAGGTACCTAAAAGGTTCTCTCAGTGCCACCGAGTCAGTGTTTCCCCCAATGCCCTGGGTGCTCACAGCTGCTCCTCTGCTTTGTCTAGGGTTTGCCCACCTAAGGCCCTTCATTACATAAATGGAGCTGTAGACCACACTGCATCTTTTCTCTAGCTTATTTCATTTAGGATAATGTTGATTACGGGCAGTATCCCATCCCTCTGTGTAGTTCAAAAACATTACGTTACCTGAAATTATTTAAAAAAAAAAAAAATACAGTTGGAGAGATGGCTCAGGGGTTAAGAGCACTTCCTGCTCTTGCAGAAGACCTGAGTTTGATTCCCATGCCCACTTCAGGTGACTCCCAAGCTCCTGTAATGCCAGCTCGGGGACTTGACACTCTCATTTGGTCTCCAGGACACTGCACACACATGCACACACCCACCACATGTAACAGAGGCTTTTCTCTCTCCTGCCCTTCCCGAAGCCGTTTCCAAATAATCACTAAGGGGCTTGTATTGATTAGAAATGTTTAGCCGATGGCCCAGGCTTATTACTAGCCAGCTCTTACATTAAATTAACCCATTTCTACCAATCTATTTATTGCCACGTGGTCCATGGCTTACCGGTTCTCTGGTATCTTGTTTCTCAGGCAGCTGGCTCACATCTGCTCAACTCTGCCCTTCTTCCTCTCTGTCTTCAGTTTGATTGTACCTGCCTAACCTTATCCTGCCTGGCTATTGGCCAAAACAGCTTTATTTATCAACCAATGAGAGCAACACATATTCACAGGTACAGAAAGACCATCCCACAGCAACCATAGACACACACACACACACACACACACACACACACACACACACACAAAATTAAAAATAAGATAAATGAATGCTGGATACAGTGGCACATCCTTTAATCCTGGTACTCAGGAGGCAGAGGCAGGCAAACCTCTGTAAGTTGCAAGCCAGCCTGGTCTGCATGGTAAGTTCCAGAACAGCCAGGGCCATATAGAGAGACCCTGTCTCAAAACAACAATAAAATAAAATAAAAATAATGAAAAGCTGGGCATGTTGGTGCATGCCCTTAAAAAAAAAAAAAAAAAGGAAAAAGATGCAGGGTATAGTGGCACATAATCCCAGCATTTGGGAGGCAGAGGCAGGCAGATCTGAGTTCAAGGCTTGTCTGGTTGACAGAGAAAGTTCCGGAACTATACTGTGAGACTGTCTCAAAACCCACATAAAATCAATGGCCATACTGCGTTTGGTTGACCTGGTCCTGAGTTGTTGAGCCTCTGGTGTCTCCCGTCTTCTTCCTCTTCTAGAGCTGCTATAAATGTTTATGGACGGGTTCTTGTGTGGACGCCCATGCTCATCCCCTTCCAGTGAGCATGCTGAAGTTGGATCACGGTGTTCCAAAGCAGCCCCCCACTGCACAGTCCCGGCAGCGGGGGCAGCAGGACCCCGACTTCTTCCGCCCTCCTTGATGCTCATTTTCCAGCATTTCACTATCATCAAGCCATGTGTGGCGCTGAATTAACTTTATTTACATATTCATTTTTTGTAGTGGTAGGGAGCTAGTCCAGGACATGCTCTCTCACTGAGATACATTCCCAACCCCTGACTTTTAAAATTAAATTCTCTTCATTTTTGCTAGTACTGAAATATATATATATATATATATATATATATATATATATATAATATTGTATATATTGTATATATATTGTATATATTGCTCTCATACCTGGTCATTTTACTGAACTCTGTTCATTCCAATGATTTTTTAAAAACTTTTAAATGATTTTTATTTTTTATGTGTATGGATTTTTGCCTACATGTATATATGTATACCATGTGCATATACTACCTGAGGAGGCCAGAGGAGGGGTTAGATTCTTCAAATTAGAGTTACAGCTGTGAGCCACCATATGGACTCCGGGAACCAAACCCAGGACCTCTGGAAGAACAGCCAGTGCTCTTAAACACTGAGCTGTCTCTCCAACCTTGGTCTTCGTTTTTATCAAAAGCATGCCCAGGGAGAATTTTATTAGAATTTAAGAGAAAAATCATAACAGCTAAAATCCAGGTAGCAGCAGCAGGAGGGGTAGAAGAAAGTTCATGCTTGCTAAATTAGGCATGGACCAGACAGACAGCTCATTAGAAAAAGGTGGTCCACAAACAGGCGTGGCCTAACGAGCTGAGAAAAGAGCCTGCAAATGCCTGGTTTCCATTTGTTTGGTTCTTTGAAGCAGGGTCTCTTGCATTCCACTCTGACCTGGTCTGTAGCCAAGGGTAATCTTGAACTTCTGATCCTGCTGGTTCTCTCCAGCACTAGGTCCACAAGCCTGCATCCTCACACAGTTTATTCAGGGCTAGCGTTTGGACCCTGGGCTTTGTGTGTGCAAACAGTCCGACTGAGCCACACCCCATACTGTGCCGATGGAGCAGAGGCTGCCTTAGTGTATATAATTAAATAACCTGTGACTTTATTGTGGAAGAGTACTCGTTCAGTGGATTATACAGCACATCGTTATTTGCTGGGCATTTAGTTGTCTCCAGTTTGGGGTTTGTTAAGGACACAGTGATAAGAATTCCTGTGGCAGTCTCTCGTCTGATAGATGCCTAACAGTAGCTGTGTTCAACATGGTAGGTACATGGTAAATTTTGAAGAAACTGACAAAGCTAGATGTGATGGCACACTTCTGTAATCCTAGTACTTGAGAAGCTGAGGCAGGGGGATTTGAAAACAGGAGTTTGAAGTCAGTCTGGTCTGGGAGACTCTTATTTCACAAACAAGAAGAAACTGCTTACATACTTTCACCATTTTACACCCCCCGCCTCGCCTCAGCAATGTGGAAGTGTCCAGTTTCTCCAGATCCTTTCCAGGACTTGATATTGCCTATCTTTTTTTCTTTCTTTCTTTTTTTTTTTTTTAAAAAGATGTATTTATTTATTATGTATACAATGTTCTGCCTGCAGGCCAGAAGAGGGCACCAGATCTCATTACAGATGGTTGTGAGCCACCATGTGGTTGCTCGGAATTGAACTCAGGACCTCTGGAAGAGCAGCCAGTGTTCTTAATCACTAAGCTATCTCTCTAGCCTGTTACTGTCCATCTTTTGGGTCGAGACTAGATGTGTGGTGACTTCTCACTGTGGTATCAATGATGTCAACATCTTTCCACCTAGTATTGGCCACCTGTGCGTCTACTTTGATGAAGTATCTTTTTCAAATTGTCAGCGAATTCACAACTTAGTCAGTACCAAGTTATACAAGTTTGGGGTTTTTTTATTTTGTTGTTTTTCAAGACAGGGTTTCTCTGTGTAGCCCTGGCTGTCCTGGAACTCGCTCTGTAGACCAGGCTGGCCTCGAACTCAGAGATCTGCCTGCTTCTGCCTCCCAAGTACTGAGATTAAAGGTATGTGCGACCACTGCCTGGATCAGTAATACAATTTTTTTTTCAAGTTATACAAATTCTTTATAGCTCTCACAGAACTTCTGTATCAAATGTTTTTCTCTCTTAGTTGAAAGCTTATCTTTTCCATTCTCTTAGATGTGTCTTTTGAAGAGCATGCATTTTAAGGGCTTTATTTATTTATTTTTATTTTTTTGCTGAATGCCATCTATTGAAGTAGGGAGGAGGTCTTAAATACAGGCTTACAGCACAATGGGAGAACCCCAGAGGGCAGAAGTTCGCTACCGATGTTTTACAATCTTGCATCTAAGCTGTTAACACCCATTATGCAGGATACACAGATAAGGAACTTCCCTTAAGCATTCAGGAGGGTAGAACCTGGCAGGGAATTAGCATAGAGAAGATATCCAGGTCAAGGTCAGTAAGCAAGGCAACAGTTACCCAAACGGGGACCAGGACCCTATAGGTCCCCCTTTGACTAGAAAATGAGCTTCTGACTTAGGTTGCGTGGGACGTCAGCAGGTCACCTTACCTGTCATGGAGACGCCTGCCCAGGCCACACAGGCTCTCTGTCTTAGGTTGGTGAGTGCCCCCCAGGCATCACCGTCTCTGAATACTCATTATCATACAGGCTCAATCATGTGTGAGCTGCAGAGTTAACTGCTGCCAAAGATCTCAAAGTGGCACTGGGCTTGCAATCTGTGTGTTCAACACAGAAAAGACCAACAGAAGTTCTAACCCACCTATAGCCAGTAGGCTAAAGGCAACTGAGCCATTCCCTTTCTTAACAAGCCTTATTGCAAACTGGAGTCCTTGTAAGATGGTATCCCAAAAGCAAATGGAACTTGAGTTTATAAATATATAATTTTCAAAGCCAATCAAGATGTATATAATTATTGAATTAAATTTATCATGCCCAATAGAATGAAAGATTAATTAACTGTTGTAGCTACTTTTGCTGCCAGGGTCTCCACTGTGCTAGCTGTAGTAACCAATTATGAAATGGTAATCCCAGAAACAGTAGCAGTGGTGGCCGCCACTGCTATAACAGCAACAACGGCAGCAGCAATGTCAAATTCTCTTCTGGAGCGTGTGGGCATCCACTGGCA